TGAGTAATGTATTTAGTTGTTAGAGACTGAGGTCATGAAGCCAAAAAAGGCACTTTGCATTATTTCTCACCATAATCTTCTAAGAAATGGTCCAGTTTCTCCTGCAAACACATTTCCTAAGCTGTCTTTTGAAGGGTTTGTTTCTCCTTTTTATTTTCCTTCCCTCCTCAGTAGCTCTTAAAAGTCCCAAGTTATTGCTCGTAAGAATTTTTATTTCCTTAAGATAAGAATCTGTCCAAAAGAATCAGGGGAGGGGAGAGGAAGGAGACAAAAATCTCAATTTGAACTCTGCAAAGCTAAATATTTTGATTAAATACCTCCAGTCAGTTTCTGGAGGTGTAAAAACCTGCACTGGGTGACCAGTCTGGATTGCAGCAATCAGGTCACTGCCTGCCCTGACCACCCACAGGCAGCCTCTGAGAAGAAAGAAGCCAAAAGCTGGAGAAATCCATAGGGCCAGTAAAAAAAAAAAGGTGCAATAATTTTGCTGAGCAAAAGCTAGCCAGTAATAATTTATGGTAGGTGTATTTTTTTTCTGGATGGGGTTTAGGATTATGCATGCTTGCAAAGGTCTAAGTGCACTGTGTAAGCACTGGAGCATCTCTGGCTGGTGAGAAGACAATCAGCTGGCGGCCACCACCTCACTCCCCTGCCCCAGTATCCCACCATGGGGCTCCACAGAGAGGGCAGAGGGAGATCAGGAGGAGCTTGGTTGCACCCACATGAGAACATCGCTCACAGGGGACCAGCATCCTCACTGCTTCTCGCTTGGCCAATAGCTCAGCGATGTCTTCATCCTGCACCCAGCCAAGGGAGCAAGCTCGGGACACCCACCTCTAAGCCACTCTCCATCATATAGAGAATAATTCCTACCTGGAACAAGGGTTTAAAAGCCACACAGAGGATGCTGATAGTCGCTTGGCAGGACACAGGCTATCTGAAAAGGACTATTAAAATATGCATATAAAAGAAAAAACAGGATTTCATTATTATTTCCCAGTGTGTTGGGCTCCTGAGAAGCTGGCACACAAGTGCTCTAGAAATTCACTGACATGAGCTCCCACAGGCAAAATGCCACCGGCCAGGCTGGCTGGAACAAGTCCCTCCCACCACTCAGTAGTCCTGGAGAGGGTCTGACCCAGTGGCTTTGCAGCCCTCTATTTATGCACCTATTAACCTGCTCCTCAGGCAATAACCTCCAGGGCAATGGGTCTTCCACTCTGTTGAGCAAGGGGTGGTCCATTTAAGACAAGCGCCATCTGTAAGCCTCAACTCTCCGCAGCCCCGGTGGCACCACGTCCTTCTTGAGAAACACACCCAAGCCAGACTGGGGTTGAGCCTCTACAGAAATGTTTCTATTCTTGGATATGGTTTTTGAGAGCAAGTTTGGGCTATAAGCAACTGAAAACAACAGCAGCATGAATTGCTCTGGCTCTACTAGAGTAACTCTCACCCTTGAGAAGTCCCGTCCCGTAGGGAACCATGTTACCATACAACCTGCAGCTCCCACACCTCGCCTGTGTGAGCTGGTAAGTGCTCCGTTCGGTCCTTCTTCGCCCTCGTAGGCATCGGTAAGGAAGGAGCTCTCCCTCAGCAGCTGGCTGCACCTTGCGCTTTGGCTAATTAAAATGAGATATGGAACCGCAGCCAGAAGAAATCCTCCTAGATGATCCATCTCTCTAAGCATGGCCAAGCCCGGCAGGAGCGAGTTTGAGGCCAGCTTGCTATTAGTGTCCCACACTGCCCCCAGAGGGCTTTGGATTTAATCCCGGCTATTTCTCTTCTTCCAGGGCAGTGGGGCCAGACAGCACCACAGAGCTTAATGTATTTTCTCTGGGAGCAAAACCAAATTGTGCAGCAGCAGAAGGCGCGAGCCTCTTGCACGATGCCACTTGTCAAAAGGAGCCCCTCGTAAGCTTGCCTGAGGAACAAGCTGGTTTGGAAATACTGTAACCCAGCTCCAGCCCTGCCCTGCTGCCCGTGTTAAGAGATGCAGCCCCAGCCCCTGTGCACAAAGAGCCTGCACTCGTTACAGGGTGAAAGTGAAACTTTAAGCAATGCCAGGCAAGCATTCCTTCTGATCAATTAAGAAGTGGCATCGACGGAGAAAAGTCCCGCTGGGTTTTCTCGAAACGTGAAGGCTGGAGGCCGTGTGAGATGATATTCCTGTGAAGCAAGGGACACAAACAGCCCGTGGGACAGGGGAGGATCGGGGATGAAAAATGGAATGGGCCTGCAGAGCACTGATGGAAAAGTTATTAAAAGGAAAGAAAATTCACAACGGGAAGACGCTAGCACTCCAGAGCAGTTCTGGAGGTAGCATAAATCAGCAGAACATTACTGTGCCGACAGGCTGGGCCACGTACTCTCAGTGCTGCATGCTCCAGCAGAGGAAGAATTCAGGTGAGGCCCTGGTACAGACATTCTTACACCGGGCAGGTGTTGGAGGCAAATGGCCACATCACTGTCACAACTTCGGCGTGCAGCCATCTCAGAATTGGGAAAGGAAAAATCCTTTAATTTTGTTTCCACCTCGTAAAGTACTCATAGCACCGACGAGGAAGACAGAACCTGAATTCACATTTTTGGAAAGCACATTTGATTACCGTCTGGAAAAAGTGAGTCTCTGAACGCAAGAGACTGCTTCATGCTAGAGTTAAGAGCACAGAAACCCACGTATGTGACACTTCATTGCTCTGTGGCCAATTTTGTTGATTAGATACGAGAAGAAAATAGTTAATGTGCTGTAGCCAATCTGCAAATGTTAGAAAATGTGCAATCATATAAAACCAATTTTAAGTGAAATGGGATGGTCTACAAATTAGGGGCAAAGGATTGCTACCAAAGGCACTGAGAAAGGCAGGCAGGAAAGCAGTGTGCAGAGCAATACCCTGCCCAGGACAAAAGGTGGTTAGGGGAACACAGGCAGCTCACACCCCCAAAGAAAATTACTTCTGAAAACTGATGCAAAACGAATGCTGACCAAACTTCATCCTTCTGAAGGCTTGTTTAATAGTGACCGCATAGGGTGCCAACATCACCACCCTTGTAACAGCCAGTGGCCACAGGGCTACCTGCAACTTGAAGGGATGTGGGGATACGAGGTTGCTGCAAAACCCTGTCGTGAGTGGGAGCTAATCGGCCAGCAAGGTCCTGGGGAGCTACAGGTCCTGGTGGCTTCCCTGAACAGCCTGCTCTCACTTCTGTTAACCACTTAGGAAGTGTTTCTCACCTCTGACGTCTGTGGCATGTGATGTGCAGCCATGGGGAGACTTTGGGGAACAGCTCGGATACCCACTTCACTTCAGCAAGAAGCCCATTTTGTCCTAAGAAAACAACAGCGGGAGTATTCATGCGCCCCTTTAAAATACCGAGACAAAAGTTATTAGTTGGCAAGGCTACAATGGCAAAGCAAACACAGACGTTGGGATTGTTGTTCTGTTTTTTTCCCCCCTTTAAATCATGAATATGTTTGAAAACAAAGCGAGACATAATGAAAATGAATACACAGAAGTAGCACTTGCCTGAAGGTCCAATGGTTGTACTGCGGTGTTTCACTCATTTTTCAACCCTCCTGTTTCTTGTCTGATTTTGTACAGCAATGTTTTTCTCCCCCCTTCTCTCTAGAACCCATATAATAATTCTGCCTTGAGATGCTCATCTATCAGCCCATCACTCAGAAAGCAAGCCATTTATCCTACTGTTCAAACATCCATCCAGACCTCGGGAGGATGGTGGGGACTAGGGAGGGAGAGAAGAAGAAAGCACTTTTTCTGTTGCTTTAACATTGGTTATAAACCATGGAGGATGCTAACTTCTGTCAGGGAAATATCTCACGCTCCTGCCCCTTTTTGCCTCTCTTCCCCAAGGTCTGTACTTTTGACACAGAGCTGTTTTTCAAAGACAGCATCATTTAGGATCTCCACCTGAAGGAGGATCGTGCAGGATCAGGTCTTAAGCAGGCAGCGTGTTACCCCAGCAATGAAACCAGATTCCAAACTTGGGGAAAACCGAGTATAAGTCTAAAATAAACTACTCCCCTGGCCGGAGCAACAGAGGCACAAAGCAACATCAGCTCAGCCCCCGCCACGCGCTCTGCCCAGCCCAACGCGACGGCACCCACATACTTGCTCCCTGCCTGACTCTACTTCCTCCCACCAACACCCAGGAAAACCTGTGCCCAGAAAGCTTTATCCCTTTGCGACCTACCTGCCTATTACTTAGCAAAGGATGTACCTGCTAGCAGCTATTATCAACGGATTATTCGGATTGACCACCAAAAAAAAATTATTTTCTTGAGCATATTGCTGTAAGTGCAATCTCTTCCCCATCACCTCTTCCGAACCATCCCCTTGCTTTCCCACAGACCTGTACATAACTCACAAAATCAAAAAAGATCTTAAACCACAGTAAATTGTTTTATCCACTCCATCCTTTCTATCTCCCATCTGCTACTCCAGCCTTTTGCTATTGGGGTGCAGTAAAATCTGATTTTAAACAGGAGGCTGACACTGTAGTCTCGTTCTCTTCAGCCAAAATATGAAAAATAAAAAGCCACCCATATACACATTTTATCACAGCAATAGATAAATATATCACAATAACCATTTTCACAGATAATAAAAAGCAAAAAAAATATTGAGGAGGTTTACAGCAGTTTAATGAAGGCTCTCGTACCAAATATTGAACTCAAAGTTACAGTCAAAGTTATTGGAAAAAAACCCAAACAAACTTACAGTGAAAAAGCTGATGAGAATTGCCCACCTAGCCATGGAATTACCTGCAGTTTAACGCTGTGCTTAAATACTCACCACACAATAGAAACGAATTTAAATCACGACCAAGGTACACACAATTCACTTCCATTCTGTTTTCAATTACATGTATTCAGCATGTAATTTAACCTCTGGAAGTTACTCCGAAGAACACAGAGGTTTTTGTTTGGTTTGTTTTTTTTTTTTTTTAAACACTCACTGGAAATAAATACCATTTAAAGAATACACACGGAGTGCAGTAAAATGGACACTTAGGCACTGGTACAGTCTAGTCCTCTTCAGCCCTCTACAAACTACAAGACAAGAAGTTTTAAACCACAGATGGAGTGGAGAGCAGGGCAGAGCTGTACAGGTAGCGGCAGCAGGTTATGTACTACACAAGAGCACATCTGCAAAAGGTCCCAGGAGATTTTTGTTGAAGATGCAGCGTATCCATACCAGGTATATTGTGAAGGGCTTAATGTTTTCTGAGAAGGTGTGATTCTGATGGGACAATATATAAGGCATGTAAGTGTTTTCCCCTTGCTCTTGTATCCACACTTCATATTTCACTTCTCTGACCTTGAGATACTTCAGGTTCCAGGGGATCTGCCAGGACACGGCAAGTTTAGCTTCGCTCGTGCCTTGAACAGAGGCTTGACACTGGGCAGCCCTCACTTTGCCAGGGTAGAGACTACCAGACCACTTCTGCTTCTTGGGTCCAGGCTTAGACTTCACAGTCTGCCTGATCACCTGGATGAGAGAAGGGATGTTCACCTTCGTGTCCTGGTAGGCACGGAACAGCCACTCGGGATTGCGGCAGCAGAGGTGCCGCGGCACCTCCGTGCTCTTAATGATGCGCTCTTGCTCAGCTTTGTCCAGATGAGCAATCCCGCCCTGATCCCAAGGTCTGTCCGGGTAGGTAACGGTATCTTCCCTGTCGGTGTTCTGCCAGGCAATATACTGCAGGTCCATGCCAGGAAGGGTTGCCAGGGTTTTGTAAGGGGTATAGTGTTCAGGGTTGATAGCATAAGGGAAGAGCTCCACCACTGTGGCACCTCTTGGCAGGAAGAGAGACATGACTAATTGGGCCCCATGCATGCTGACCAGCATGGACGCATTGCTGATCAACCGGACGATGTCAGAAAATGAATGCTCCTCCAGAGAGACGGTAATGGTTTTCATCTGAAACTCCTGAGCAAGAGCCAGGATTAGTTCTGCCTCATTTAGGATAAGTCTGTTGATTGTTCGACTGAACACTACGATGTACTCCTCAGTGGAGCTTTCCTCCAAGCTGACGTTCAGTTTCTGCGTCATGAATTTGGTGAACTGCCTGATCTCGTTACCAGAAACCAAGATGTTAGCCTTTGGCCCTTGTGGCTGGACAAATCCGTACTGGTACCAGGTGGTGATTTTGGACAGTCCCACATACGATTTGGTAAAGCAGAGGAGCCTGCCCAGGGTTTTAAGCTGCTCCCTGAGAAGCGGCTGCTTGTTACTCAGTAACTTGTAGAGGTCAAAGTGAACACCCTCACTCCACCCTTCCATGAAGAAGAGCCGTGCCTCCAGATCTAAATCAGAGAACTGCTGCATGGTGTAATAAATGGGGAGGAGGTCATCATGAAAGACATGCATCAGGTTGTCTGGATTGAACCTGTTAGCGATCAGCGCCACATCAGGCACAAAGACTGGCTTTGGCATAAATTTCAGCGCAGTGGCTGGCAGCTCCACAAAGTTGAAGTATTGGGTGTTGTGATCTTCCACTGAGGAGAGGTCGAGCAGAGCCGGCTGGAACCTCCGGGAGCCCAGGTTGGGCAGCATGACTGAGGAGTTGCTGTGGAAGTAGACAAACTCCTCAGCCTCGGTAGAGTAGCAGAGGGACTCAAAGCGGCAGATGCGGTCGGTGTGCATCCTGCCGGTGCACACCATCCTGGTACCGTCCTCCACCAGTGCCTGGAGAGCTGCATGGTAGTCAATCTGAGCCTGAGAGAGTTCCTGAGACTGACGTGTGAGGACCAGCTCCTCTTCGACCATGAAGACATGCTCTCGCAGTTTGATGTATTTCCACAGCACAGCAGCGAGGACAGACACGAGCAGGGCATTAAACACAGCTGCTATGTTCATTCTGTAGTTAGATCCTAGCAAGATGACAGGTGGGGAATGCAACGGAGAAGGAACACATCGTTAACACTCCTTGGCATGGTGAGGACAAAGACCTGTGGAGAATAAACCAAGAAAGGAACATCAGGTTTACAGCCCTACCATAAATCACTTATTATGGACTACTCAAGAGAGTTGAGGCTTTTTTCAGTAATTTTTCCCCCTTCCAGGGCACGAGGAAAAGAAGAAAAGAGTGCCAAAGCACTACCCAAAACTGTAAAAACAATAAAGCAAACAGAACTGGGAGCTGCTCTACAGGAAGGTTTCCTCTCTCATTTTCTTTTCTAACCTTTTGGAGAAGAAGGAGTAATAGAGTTTCAGGATGAGCTCTACGAAGTTTTGCATTAAGAAATGGTATGTTCCCTGGGACTTTGGCTCACTCTGCTTTTTGTTGACCAGTCCAACCGCGAGAGGAAAGATAGCGTGTTGCAATCACTGGGCTACTCACACAGGGCTTGGGAGACCTAGCTCCTTCTCTTGACCTGCCATAGGCCTTTTGCATGTCTGCGAGTACCCCACTCGGCCTCTCGCCTTTACTGTGCGGGGAATAGTAGCACAAGGAGTATTGCCAAGTATAGATTTTGCTACACTCCATTCCAATATGAAATGTTGAACACAACATTCAAGTTAATTTTATTGGGGGGTGGGGGGAGGACTTGCAGGTCTACAGACTGCCCCGTGGGATACTCCCAAAACACTCAGTTGTTTCTTTGGCTGCAATCCAAAGTAGAGGGCTACTAAAATGATCTGAGGGCTGGAGCACCTCTCCTGTGAGGACACGCTCAGAGAGTTGGGCTTGTTCAGCCCAGAGAAGAGAAGGCTGCAGGGAAACCTTATTGCAGCCTTTCAGTACCTAAAGGGGGCCTATAGGAAAGACAGTGAAAATCTCTTTAATAGGGACAGCTGTGACAGGACAAGGGGTAATGGTTTTAAACTAAACCAGGGTAAGTTTAGACTAGATATAAGGAAGAAATTCTTTACAATGAGGGTGGTGAAACACTGGAACAGGTTGCCCAGAGAGGTGGTGGAGGCCCCATCCCTGGAAACATTCAAGACCAGGTTGGATGGGGCTCTGAGCAGCCTGATCTAGTTAGCGGTGTCCCTGCTCACTGCAGGGGGTTGGACTAGATGACCTCTAGGGGTCCGTTCCAACCCAAAACATTCTATGATTCCATGAATCCAGGATCAAAGGCTAGGAGCTGCTGTTGTCTTCCAAAAGAAATATTGGCATGGGAGAGAGGAGAGCTCCGGTCTTTATGCGAGGAACTGATGTTTCATTAAAGCAAACAAACCTTCATTTAGTGAGAGGCTGACTTGCATCAGCACAACCAAGCCTTATACAAATGGCAAGGTAATACATTTGAAGTGTTTCTGGTGTTGGTGTTTTCCCACCCCAACCTGAGAATCTCTTCCAAGGCCTTCCTGTTTCTTTTTCTGTTATGAGGGAGATCCCGCCACTGTTTTCTTTCTATGTAGAAACACTACTGGGTTATATCAGAGTATTGATTACATTCTCAACTGTGAACTTCAGTTGAGATATTCATTCACCTACAGTATTTATGGGCTCCAATTTTCATTATGCATCAAGGTTCACTGCTAGTCAGGCTGTAAATAATTGGAGCCATGACTCGTGGGGGACTACAGGAAGGCAAATTTCTGATTGGTATATACCTGATTAGACTGCTTCTAACTGCAGTTTTTAAAGGTAGCAGTTTAAACTCCCTTTGATGCAAGTTTGGAGGGGGGAAAGAAAAGCAGTGTCTCAAGCACATGCTCTGATATCCCAAGCAATAGTCTCTTAGCACTTTTTAACCCAGAGATGCTTGTTTTGATATGCCAGAGTGGAGGAAGACAACAAGGCATATTTAGGACCAATGCAAGCACCTTCTCTTATGTCAAGGGAGTTCTTTTGAAACGAGAGATTGCAGCCTAAAAGCTTGATCCTGCAATCTGGTTCACGCAGCTTGGAATTGAATGGAGAATCATTCATGGAATTCAGTGAAGTCAGAAGGGATCCCTACCGCTTGTGAGATCCCAACAGCCTGCGGGATCCCTGTCTTAGGAAGAACTGAAGGTACGTGGGAGACTGAATAACGTCAAAGAAACGAGTGCTAGCTGTAAGCCACACAGATTCAAGAGGGGGTCTCTGGGGATCTGAGCAACAAATTCATTTCAATTTCAGAGCAGCTCTAGCTACTCAAATGAAACAGAAAGGAAGTCCATCTCCTTTGGCAAGTGGTCTGAAAAACTGCCTCATTTAGCAACTCCCTAAAAGCAAGCAGCAAATTAAAAAGGTGTTATTTTGATTTCAACCGTGGAAAAGGAAATGGGAAGGGACCCAGACTGGTCATCTAATTACCAGGGCAGGATCAGCTCTCCCTAAACCACTCCCAAAAGATGTTTATCTATCTCATTCTTAATACTCATTCATCTCTTCAGCCAGTCTCTAGCAATAAAGGCACGAAGGACTTTCCTAACGCTCAACCTCTGTTTCCACTACACAATTTAAAACTGGTCTTGTTCCAGGTGCTACAGATATCCTGCACTGATGAATGACAGCTGTCACACCACCTCTCAATCTTTCCTTCTCTGTAACAGGGGATGATGCTGCTCCTGACGGCTTTGCAACTCTCAACCATGGCTGTTCCGTGGACAGTCTTGAATGGAAACCTACTGTGGACAGCAGTACATCAGTTGGTTAGGCTCTGCTAATGAACCAAACCAGTTTTCAGGAAAATAAATTTTTGATGGGGATAGATCTTGTTACTTTTTTGGTACCAGACTTCCAAAGCTTCATTTTACTTCTTCACTATCTTTGAAAGACATCTAATGATATCATCCAACTCTCCACATAACCTCTCCACTACAGACCTCTCACCTTGTGGGCACAGCTTTAAATGACTTCAGCAGCACCACCAAGGAAAGGACTGAGCCCGAGCAGCCACATGCAAAGCCTTCTAGTCAGTACGTGAAGGAGACCTTTAACAATCAAGTCCTCTGTCACAAGCACACACAGAATGGCAAGGGTTGGAAGGGACCTCGGGAGATCATCTAGTCCGACCCTCCTGCTAAAGCAGGTTCACCCAGAGCAGGTTGCACAGGACATCATCCAGGCGGACTTTGAATATCTCCAGAGAAGGAGACTCCACAACCCCCGTGGGCAGCCTGTTCCAGTGCTCTGTCACCATCAATGTAAAGAAGTTCTTCCACATATTCAACTGAAACCTCTTATGTTTCAGTTTGTGCCCATTGCCCCTTGTCCTGTCACTGGGCACCACTGAGAAGTCTGGCTCTGTCCTTGTGACATCCACCCTTAAGATATTTGTATGTGTTGATGAGTCCCCTCTCAGTCTTCTCTTCTTCAGGCTAAACCATCCCAGCTCTCTCAGCCTTTCCTCATAGGGGAGATGCTCCAGTCCCCTCATCATCTTTGTTGCTCTCCTCTGGACTCTCTCTAGGAGTTACTCATCTTGAACTGGGGAGCCCTGGACAGTACTCCAGGTGGGGTTTCACCAGTGCAGAGTAGAGGGGGAGGATAACCTCCCTCGACCTGCTTGCCACACTCCTCTTAATGCACCCCAGGATACCATTGGCCTTCTTGGCAACAAGGGCACACTGCTGGCTCACGGTGAGCTTGTCGTCCACCAGGACTCCCAAGTCCCTCTCAGCACAGCTGCTTTCCAGCAGGTCAGCAGGTCAGTAGAACAAAGGCCCTACAAGTTCACACACAGAATCACAGAATCGCAAGGGTTGGAAGGGACCTCGGGAGATCATCTAGTCCAACCCCCCTGCTAAAGCAGGCTCTCCTAGAGCATTCTACACAGGACTTCATCCAGGCGGGCCTTGAATATCTCCAGAGAAGCAGACTCCACAACCTCCCTGGGCAGCCTGTTCCAGTGCTCCGTCACCCTTAGAGTAAAGAAGTTCTTCCTCATATTCAACTGAAACCTCTTATGTTTCAGTTTGCACCCATTGCCCCTAGTCCAGCGGAGTCAATGCAAGTTGCAAGAACTTGGCAGAGGGGGAAAACCACGTGGCCTCTTTATTATTCCAGTATGGTGGGGAGAGTATATATGTCTGGGTGTTTCAAAGGCATCAGAAGCCAGCAGTCCATAAAAACACCAGTGATACCACCTGCATTTCACAGGCATCTCGGTGGTGGAGAGCTCTGCCAACCATTACAAACCCCTTGAGCAGAACAGGCCTCCTTGGAAACATCCTGTTCTAATGTTTCACCCCTGAATGATTTGTTCTCTTCCCTCCAGCCCCAAGGGAGGGGCATAAGAGGCACTTCAAGAGATGCAGCTTGATGGATGTGGCCAGTGTTCGGAGGTTAGCAATTTTCATTTCAGACTCTGCTAGAGCCATAACCCCTAAATGGCTACAAATGAACAACTCAGCTTTTTAATAAAAATCACCTGCAAGGCCCTCCTCCATCTCTTCCCTCACTGCAGGTCTTTCACTTCCCTGCACTTAGCTGAAGTCGAGTGTGTGTGCTTTAGCCAGGCAGGTGCCAGGAATGAATGTTAAAAGCCAGCAACGCTGAAGGAATCCATCTTCATTCCTGTTCCTCGTTGCCAGTTCGTAAATCCTGGTTCATGCTGCTTGGCTGAAAGCTGCTTTTGATGGAAGTGAACAAGGGGATGTGGACAGGAAGGGGTGTCACAGGCAGAGCTAAAAGGAGAATTTCACAGGTATTCGGGGAATAGTCTTGATACTTTGCCTGTTTTCCCGCATTTTATCATCCACCTATTTTTAATCTGACGCTTTCAGTGAGCACTTTCAGAGAACTAAAATCTTTGGTCTTTCAGAGAGTGACAGAGCATAAATAGTAACAAACTATCCCGCTGTTTGCTTTTCCATACCCAGAAGAGGCTGCACCAAGGGGGTAAAGGCAAGCAATCACTCTCCATGTCCCCCCATTCCTCACTCCCCCAAGCCGAGATCAGTCATTATGCGTTGTCAGCAGCAGCAGTCCTGGGATGGGAAACTTCCGCAGGAAGCAGCAAGTAACTCTGAAACAGGTGAAAGCATTTAGTTTTCTACCTGAAGA